AGACAATGAGGGTTCTCCACCAAATCCCAAGATTCAGAGCAAGGTGCTGATGATGTCGAGGGAAGCCCATCACCTGGGTGCTAGAGGAGAGAGGAGGCCAACAGAACTGACTCAAAGCGAAGTCAGCCCCTTACCTCCTTTGATCTGGTGCTAACTGAAGAATAATTGATATAATCAGAAGTTAGGCTCCTTGAAGGCAGGAACTGTTTCATTTTTGTTGCGTTCTCAGCATCTTAGACAATACCTGACACATAATGACTGACAAGCATCGACTGAGTGAAAGGAGTTATGGGTGTATGTGCTATATTTTCTTAGAGCCATTAAAGCAGGGATCGTGCCTTCTCTAAACTTTGTATCTCCACTCGTGCCTTGCACAGTGATAGGCAGTAGGTGCTTAATATACATGAGGAGTGTATGGGGTTTTCAAGGAGGACTAGCACCTCTGGTGTGAGGGCTTGTCAAGCCCTTTTCAGGGCTGCTCATTCACCTTTGGCGTCTACCTGGCACTCAGCTCTCACCTGTGGTTCCAAGAAGCTGCAGCATGTGCAGCAGCCATGCCCTGGTAAACCATTTGGGCAGATGGGCTAAACCAGGTTAAGGGTAACCTCAAATCCATTGGTGAGTTAAGGAGATGTCAATCCCAAGCATGTGAAAACCTCCCCTGGTGGAATGGGCAAATGAGAACAATTTGTTGGGGCAGCTTGGTGACACAGTGAATAGAGCTCTGGCCTTGGAGTCAGGAGGACCCAAGTTCAAATCTGGCCTCAGACACCTGACACTTAATAGCTGTGTGACCCTGGGCAAGTCACTTAACCCCAGATTGCCTCACTTAAAAAAAAAAAAGACAAAAAAAAAATGACATGAAGAACAATTTGTTCCAAAAGCCATGAAGGTGGCTGAAGCAGGCACTGTGGAGTGCTTAGAGCTTAGGCAGACATTGAAGATGCCAAGGTCCTCCACTGCATCCCGGGCCATCACTAGTTGTCCTGAATTTTGTCTTGAGTGAGGCCGATGACCGTGCAACTCTGCCTCACTTAAATCCAATTCACTCACAAGTCAAGACATCATCCCACGATGTTACTGGTCCTCTTTGAAAACATAAGATAAACAATAATAATATATGTGAATTAATTCATGTCTGTCTTTGAATTCTCCTGGGATATCTTGTCTAATGAGATCTTTAAATGCCAAATATTCTGTGACTGATTAAAGACTAGAAAGAAGAAAATCATAGCCAAACTGAATACTAACAAAGTCAGAGATTTATGCTGAAAAGGTGTTCACTGTCACTGAGTGAGAAGTTCTCTGCCGTTGAAGAGATGGAGGGAAGGAGAGAGAACTCATTCATTGGTTTGATTGGAAATGGTGGTATTTTCCATCGGGGAATTAGGTTATGGGTTATATATGGTTAGACTTTATGACTTGGGTACGTACAGATGTGAGGGCTGGTAAAGGATGGAATTCTAAGGTTGTGGCTACTTTGACTCTTTTATGTAAGTGTTTTGTTCATTCATTAGTTCATGTGACAAGGGTATATTGAACACCTTTTGGGTGCAAAGCCCAGTGTTAAGTGATTTGGAATATCCAGAGGAGAGCCCCAGAATGGCAAAGGGTCTTGAGTCCATGCCATTGGAGGCCTAACCAAAGTAAACAGAGTTGTCTCCCAGATAGGCCACTTCAAAGAAGGCCTCAGGAGGGATGGGAACTTCCCCATTACCTGGAGTCTCAGCCCCATGCTTTGGGAACCTGGCCAAGGCCTGGCTGGGTGAAGGGCTTTGTGTGCTGGCTGAGCAATTTTTGCCCTCACCTGCCAGCCTTAGCGTGTTCTGCACAGAACATGGGCTAGGCAGAGATTGGTCTTGGGGCCTCCCAGCCTTTTTATGCACCCTCCTTCCTTTCTTCTAGGGTGCCCTTCTCCAGACCTTCACAGCCTCTACCAAAATAATTCTTTGGATGAACTGAAGATCTTATCCCAGGGGTATCTGCACTTAAAACTTCTCCCACTTCTGAATAATAATAACTAGCATTTATATAGCACCTTAATGCTTGCAAAATGCTTTACATATATCATTTTATTTGATCCTTACAATAATCCTTGGAGGTAGGTACTGTTATTATCCCCATTTTACAGTTAAAAATACTGAGGCACAAAGGGACTGAGAAACTTGCCTGGGGTCACGTGTCTGAGGTAGGATTTGAACTCAGGTCTTTCTGACTCTTGTAGGGAAAGGTGGTCCTTTTCAGTTGTCTCATGATATTCAGACTGTGGGCTCACTAAATATTACAGGAAAACTGATTTTGGAAAAAAAAAAAGATTTTTAGGCTTCAGGCTTCCCTCCTTCCCCCTTCCCAGTAAGCCCAGTTTGGAAAAGATTTCCTTTGACTGACTAGAAACCAAAATATTCACTTTCTCCCAGCTTCTGCTCCACCCTTTCCCAAAAGGGCTGGATGTTATGAGACTCTTGCTAAGGTTAAGAAGAGGCTAACAGATGGGCCTGGCTGCCTCCCACTTGACTGATGGTCTTCTCAAAAATGTCACGCATGTGCTTCGAGTCCTGAGGCCTAGGGTCAAAACCTGCCGCTGGATCTCATGGGACAGGGGCTAGGGAGTTACAAAAAGTGACTGGATCTGGGCGGCAGTGTTACTCCTGACCCCTGTCACCTTCAAGTTCCAAAAATTCCCACTTCACAGGAGTAGTATGTGACCACAAGGACAGCAGTTGGGTTGACAGGGGGACCATGTAAATAAAATAAAGTCCCTGTGTGACCATGGGTGATAATAACAGATGTGATTTATATAGCAACGTAAGGCTTACAAGGCATTTACATATGTTATCTCTTTTAATCCTCAGAACAACCCTGTGAGGTAAGTGCTATTATTATTATCATCCTTATTTTATAGATGAGGAAACAGAGGCTGAGCAAGGTTAAGAAAATAGCCCCAGGTCACCCAGTTATAACTGAAGCAGGATTTGAGCTCTTCCTGATTGCACACTCTGGCCCGATCCTCTCTGGACCCAGTTCATTAGCTAGTCAATCAACAAACGCGTCTTAAGCTCTTACCATGTGTCAGGTACATAGTCAAACAAATGGGTGGGACCAGTTGACCCCTAAAGTCTTTTCCAGCTCTAACTATATACTCTTAGGCTGATGGCCACTCTTGTCAACCCAGCTCGTCTCAGACATGCGGGTCCATTCTACTTCAAGCAGTACCACAAGCCAAGAAAGAGCCCACCTCATCAAGCCATCTATCTCATCATCAGTAGAATGGAAATTTCTCGAGGGCAGGGACTAGATCATTCTAATCCAGCAACATCAACCTATGTACCCAGTACAGTGCCTTGAGCATAGTAGGCATTTAAATGTTTGAGGGTTGAAGACACCAATAACTGAAATAACTGAAGCTTCCATGAAGATTTCTGAGATTTGTTAGCCAACTGCTGGCTTTTCTTGTTCTTATTCTTTTCTTAGGCTAGGCACAGACAGCTACACACTTTAGCTCCCCTCATGACAAAGTTCTGAACTCAGCCACACTTTGGACCAGTTCTCTGACGTTGGCTCAATCAATTCTTTCCATTATTGGGGAACATATGGTCAGTTTATGGGTTGAGGGTTTTTTCCTTCTCCTCTCTGTTCTTGCTGCTGTCCATTTCTTCTTTCTGATAAAGGACTAAAGTGAACAGTAAAAACCCCTTTAGGTCAGGGGCTTGAAGATCCTCTCTTCCTGCTGGGATTCTCTAGCACCTCTAGAGGAAGCAGGGATTCCTACTAATAACCTGCTTGTCCAGAGTGAGGCAGCCCAGGTAGTCAAGGAGCAGCCAGACTGCTTTGAATCCAGATACAACATGGGAAGAGGTCCTCAGGACAAGCCTCCCTCTTGAACAATGTAGAACTTGAGACATATAGGCAACATCTGGCTGTAATGGGCTCTAGTCTCCAGATGAATTTTTCTAAACTGTTCTGTTCTAAAAACATCTCCAAGGATAGAGACCTCAAAACCTGCCTTAGGAGTCTGCTCTAGTGTTGGATTCTGCCGATGATCATGGGAGTGCTTTCTTATAAACAACTGAACTTAGTGAACAGTTATTAAGCACCTGATATACACAAAGCCCTCCCTGTGAAACCTCTCTTGCTTTAAATTCATTATATCTTGTTAGGCTCTCCAGATAGGAAGAAGTAGCTGCAGAATAACAGTTGTAGAGGCAGAAAGGGCCTCAGAGTGAGGGTTCCAGTCCTGCCTTTGATATTACCTGTGCGACCTTGGACAAGTCACTTCACTCCCCACCTGCCCTGAGCCTCAAGCTTCCTTATGGCCTTTGAGGTCCTTTCCAGCTCAAAATCTCTGATTTTATTCAAATCACTCATTTTGCACATGAGGAAACAAGATCATTATTTTCATTAATATCCTTTAAACACTCAGAAATGTAATTAAGTTGACCCCTTTGCCTTTTTTCAAGAAAAGCATCAGCTCTCTCTCCTTTATCCTCACCTCAAAGAAGCAATTTTTCCTTCCTTTAGTTATTCTTTGTGGGTCTCTGCAGGTCCCTTTTGAATAAAACCAACAAAAAAATATTTATCCTCCCTCCCCACCACAATCCCTGGCAATTCATTTTATGTAGCCTCCCGATTATTATTTTGCTTTCCTATAGGTTTTTGGTTTGTTTTCTTTATGAGGCTGCTTAGCCCTGAAGGGCAGAAGTCGTGTTTTATATTTGTCTGTCTCCCTCGCAGGGCCTGGGTCAGACCTGCTATACATACAGCAGACACTCAATAAATGCATGTTGAGTCAACTAAGGGTAACTGTCCATAATTTGCCTGTCCTTCACACCAGGAGCCGTGCTCTACCACCCCTGCCCTCCTTCCCCTTATGGCTCTCTAACTCTTGCTGGGTCTGGTTACACAGGGCTGAGCTTGAGCCTAGAAAGATTCTATAGACTGCTCACTGAAGATGGTGGTGGTTCCACCCTTGCTGGTGATAAATAACACAGCTGAGCCAACAGTGAGAGAAATGACATGTTTTAGTAAATAAAGAAACTCTCCAAGGCACCAAACATTATTACAGACACCAAGAGCACAAGAAAACATTTGGAGGCTGGAACTGAGGAGCAGCACCTGTGGGCTCTGGAGGTGCGTGACACCCCTTCATTTTCTACCCCTGAAATGAAAGAACCCCTCCCCTCCAGCCCAGATGGGCCTTCTCAGAAGGTTGCATAATTCCAGCCAGGGGCCTTAGACAGGCATACAGAAGGCGGAGGATGAGAGAGGACCAGCTTCCAAGAGAGCTCTCTTGTTCCTGGACACAAAAGAAAATGGCCCTGGATGCCAATGTAGAGGCCCAAACTCCAAGCTAAGGGGTTCTCCTCTCACACCCAAAGGCAAACACTTGAGCCCAGCGTTTTCTAACAGCAGAACCCATCTCATGATTCCCTTGGCCCTAAGAACTTTTGCAAATCCTGAAGACTGAGCTTTCAGTTGCGGCCAAGGAATTGTAGCTGGGGATCAATTGCAACCCTGTCCCCCGGTGGGTGGCCGTGTCCAAAACTGCTTTGGTTCACTTCACTGTGGACAGAGCAACACTTCTGCCTCAGGCCTGAGCATCAGGTAGCCAGAGAGGACAGTTGATCAGATGCAAAGGAAAGCCCAGCAGGTATCGGCACCCTAGACCGGGTGTCAGTAATAGGACCGAGGCTGCTGTTTCTGGTCTGCAGATGAGGGGATTGGGAATTGTTCAGCTCTTACAGATAAGACAGTGAACAAGGCCCTAGCTGCCATCTCAAGGGTGAGCCCCACACCAAGATCCTGCTTTAGGTCCATGCTTTAGGGTATGCGCCTCCCTGCTGGGCAGAGAGGTAGAACAAATAGGTTAGTGCACCTCTGATGAGTGGACTGCCCACTTGTTTTTGGAGAGGCTGCGGGGCCGACTGTCCCAAGCCTGGCCTCCCAGATAAATTCTGCAGCTCAGACTTGTAGGCTCTTCCTTCTACCTAATTCCTTTAAGTCAGTCCCTAATGCTACTTCCTCTATCACACACAAAGACTGCATGAAGAACCACAACACTTCCACAGGTAGGCTGGCTCTTTGGTATAAAACTTGTACTCTAAGTCCTAAGCTGCCTCTTGCTGAATGGGAGGACAACACTGGTCCGTACCCTCAGAGAACAATTCCTTCCTTTTGCTTTCAGACAATGACACTGGATTCCTAACCACCGAGTGACGCGTAGTTCAGCAACCAGTCTTAAATTTAAGTTTATCTGGTCCGAAGAGCCATCTGAGGCTCAGGGTGTTCTCATTTCATAAATAATAAAGCTGCTCCTGAGAAAATCAAAAGGCCAACCCAGAAGCCTCATAAAACCTTAAGGGGCCAAAGGAGGAAGTGACCTTCTGGGGTTCTGTATTCTGTGTGTTTATGGTGGAAGCTGCTACAATCTACTGAGTTATTCATTCCCCAGATTCGCTGGTCACATCAGTAAGAGGCACACTAATTGTGGTTAGTGGTAACAAAAGAGATTCCAACACCCACTTTACTTATCATCCTTCACATGGCCTCATTCTGACAGGGTTGTTGTTTTGCTATCTTCTCTCTCTCCCCATCCATGAAAACCATGACATGAAGACTGCCCTATGTCCACATCACAAAAAAATCTGATCTGGCTTTATTAAGTGGGGCAACCATGCCTTCTTTTGAACTTAGAACCAAGATAGAGTAGTATACTGCAGCTGCTGGGCAGGTTTGAAGCCAGCTCAGACAAATCCTGGCAGGGCAACTTGAGTTAGTTTTCAGCTGATTTCATCTAAACGGGGACTAGAAAAACAGGACTGAAGCCCAGCAGCCTTAGTCAGCAGAAGGGAAGGGTTAAATCACAGGGGGAGTTGGGGGGAGGGGTGGATAGTTAGGTTTCTGAATGACATCTGGCTAAGGGGTGATGACTCGGCCTCATACCAAGGGGCCTGGTGGGAACACTAGGCAGAAAGACCATTCCCCTTTCTTAAGTTGGGGGGTGAGGCGAGGCTATGACTGAATGGAAAGCAAGAGCATTTCTGCCCCATCAAAGCTGTATTGTCACAAGTCAGTATCCAGTTGCCAGGATCACACCTGACCAGGAGATGGTGTGGCCAGGGATGTTAGAAGACAATAAGTGGTAATGCATGTGTGCGTTTGTGCGTGTGTGTGTGTGTGTGTGTGTGTGTGTGCATATGTGTGTGTATGTGACCCACAAGACACATGGAAGGAAAATCCAATGTTTTCTTTTGCATCCAAACAATAGCTGGACACCTCTCTGATTAGACTGAGGGAGCACATCAAAGGTACCACCCATCCACTTGAGGAGGAAACAAGTTTCTTGGATACAAAGTTTGTTGTTGCTTTTTTAATATGCCAACCTAACTGCTTTAACTGGGACCCTTCTTTGGAGGCTGACTTTTTCTTTTTCTTTTTCTTGTAAAGACCTGAACTGCTTTTAAGGTTTTCTTTAAAATCTGCTGGGGGTCCCATTAGCCTATGTGAATTGGTGAATTTTCCCTGTAAGGGAGATTTAAACTAAAGAGCCCTGACAGAAGACCCAATAGCAGAGAGGTTGAACATAAACATTCAGGCCATCAATTGGCATTATGCCCTTGCCCTTCAATGGATTTTCCTACATGTAACACACTAACACTCACACTTACCCATTATTTCATAAGGTAATATAATCTCCAAATTGTTCATCTTGATAAAGGCACTTGGATATATTGGACATAAGCTTTTTTTTTTGGTGCCAGCCAAACCCTGCTGACTAATCAATGAGAATCACCTATCAGTGGGCTGATTTCCTGTGCCATGTTCCCAACATGAGCCATATCTCCCAGTGCACATATGCATAAATTAATCTCCTTAGTACTGTACATGTTGAATTCATCACTAGAGTTCTCTTTTAAATTAATCCTGCCACTGGAGACATGAAAACAAATATGCCACCTCAGTGGTACAACCCCTGACGTTCTTGTGAGTAATATATTGCACTCTGGGCCAATCGGTGGCCAGGCATTCTAAAAAATTAGCTAATAGTGGGACGTTCCTTTTTGTAGTGGCTATTATCCCTCTGGGTTGACTTTTCTAAGTCTGAGCCCAAGGTAAGAGGAAGTCAGGCCATTGTACACAGAAACACAAGACAGCAAATTATCGTGACCTGCCCTGCCTTCTCTCCCCTTTGCAACAGGAGATATTCCCTGAAACGCTCCCACATTTGGGGAAGTGCTTTTATTTCCTAATTTCTATCTACTCTAGACGAATTAGACTTAGTGCCAACCTCCAGAAGTCAGGGATGTGACTGGGGGCCACAAATCTCAAGAGTCAGGGCCCTGCCATCAGGCTTTGAGCCTAACTCTCCCTTCTAACCCCTTCCTCCATTCCAGCTTTCTCCACTGACTCCTGTCGGGCTCTTTTCTGGTCTGCCTTTCCTGAGCTCCACTTCCAAGGGCCTGGGAATGAGTCTAGTCTCTCTGGTTCTTCAGAAGGACAGGATTCCCAGGAGAAGCAGAGGTAAAAGGAGTCAGCCTCCAGGATCTACTTTGATGATGGTAATAAGCTGAGAACGGTGGCCAGAAAAACAGCTCAGTGTCCAGCATGACAGGGAAACGTGACACTAAGTGCAAGGCCACGTTCTCAGAGAACCACAGAGAAAGGCTGGTCCTTCTTCTCTCAAGAGTAAGAAGGGGAGGAGGAATGGGTTAAAAGGGAATGGTCTTTCCAGACTGGAGGTTTTGGGGGAAATCCCATAAGCTGAAGTCTTTTCCTTCCTGCTTTGGGTTTTCTTTCTAAAGCGTATCACTGGGGCTGCAGGCCCTTCCAACATCCCCATCACACTGGCTAAGCCTCTTTATGATTTTACTTCCTCAGACTCATCCAAGTCTTGTGAGCAACCTTCTGAGCACCCTTCCCGGCTTCCCGAGGCCGTTCCTGAGGCCACTGCTGCAAGAGCTACGTCCGTCTTGTTGGCCACGGTTGAAAAAGGGTTAAACCAGTTCAGGGAGAAATCGCCGCCAAAAGCTGCTTTCATCCCTTCCCAACTGACGGTCCTCTCCCAAGTTGGGTCTTCATTCTTGAGCCGCTCGATGCCCTGGAGGAAAAAAGGGAGAGAAAAGGGGGGGGAGAGAGAGAGAGAGAAAAGAGAGCTGTAACACCTCTAAGCAAGGACGTGAGGCAACTCTGGACCCCGCAAGTCCCACTGCATGCCCTGCTCGGGGCTAGGGCTTCCCATTCCACGAGAGTAGCCGTGGGGAGGGAGGCAATGGGGACGTGCCACCTGCCCCTGGAGGTAACATGCAGAGGTGGGAGTGAGTGCTTACTGCTCAGAGAAGCCCTCGATCAATCAGCGTGCATTTACAAAGCGCCTACTATGTGCTGGGCACCTGTCTGAAGTGTTGGGCGTACCATGGCAAGATATGAAACAGTACGGGTTCTTAAGGAACTTTCAGAGTACCGATTCAAAGAAACTTTTAACAAGCATAGTCAATGAGGAGACAGATGTGGCCAAAGTTACATAACCAGGAGGCGAGCAGGCTGGCCCCTTCCACGCAACGGCATCCTTGTCACAGGGCAGGTAAGGGTGGTAGGCGGAGCAGCACAGCAGGTAAAGGAAGAAGGCCGGGTGTGCAGAGAATGTGGCCTCCCTGTCCCTGCCCCCAGCTCTGTCCCTCCTCCTCCAAGTCCTGCCCGTAGTAAGAAACATCCCAGCCCACACCAAACCTAGGCACATCCCACGAGAGCAGGGACGCACGAGCCTGAGGCCACCATCCTTCTGCTCCTGAGCAGCAGACCAGCCCGCCCAGCTCGTTTGAGTGTATGATGAAGGCGATCCGACTGACCACATGTGATGAAATGGGCAGCTTAGTGACTTTCAGATGCCCAAGTGAGGCCAGCTGTTGGATGGGCCAAACTTAACACCCAAGCAAGAAGGTGGCTCCCACCCACAGGAGCCTGGGGTGCCTCTTAGACCCAGCTTGAGAATCTCTCGGCCAGCAGGAAACCCAATGACTGAAGCATGTGAAAACCCCTCTCCCTCCATCACGGGCACCATGTAAAGGAAATGGAATGAGAGAGAGAACCAGCCCTAGGGGGAAAGGGGCAGGACCCTCTTAAAGCACACACAGAACCAAGCAGGAAGGGTAAGCAAAACTTTCAGATGAGACCCAGCCATGCTGCCAGCCTTTCGTCCACCCCCATCCACTCACCTGCTCCCGTGGCTGTTACTCACCAGGCAGGCCATTTAAAAGGAGAGCATGGGGAAGAAGCTACAAGAAGTTAAAGCCAGAGGCTGACGGTTAGCCCTCTTTCCCGAGGCCCCAACCACAACCACCAGCACAGGATCCCCTCCTGTCCCCAAACCTGCTGATCAGAGAGCCAAGAAACGGGTGGGGGAGAGGAAGGGAAGGCAAGGCACCTACTGTGCAACAGGCACTGGGCTAAGGGCTTTAAAAATATCATCTCATGGGATCCTCACCAAAACTCTGGGAGGTGTTGGAAGGAAGAAAGGCAGGGAGGGAGGGAAATGAACAAGTGTCTATTAAGCGCCAACTGACAAATATTATCAGGATTCGAATTAAGGTCCTCTAGCTCCAAATCCAGGGCCGTGTCCGCTGTCTCATATGGCCTGCCAGGAGGCCACCTGACGTGAACCAATTATGCCACCACCGGCCACGTGAAAGCCTCTCACTGTCTTGTAACTGCTGCATTCTCTTCTCTCCCCACATCCCAAAGTGGTGGCTCAAGGTAACACATTATCGTCGGTGAGGACTTGACTAGAATCTGGACTTTTCTAGCCAAAAGTGACCTCATAGATCACCCTATCCAAACTTCTCATGTTATAGCTGAGGCAGAGTGGAGAAATGACTCACTCAAGATCACACAGCACGTGAACGACGAATGAGGTTTAGAACCCAGGACTTCAGACTCCTGCACGGGCCAAGTGCTTCCTCTTCCCCTCCCCCCACTATTACAGTTCTATGGAATGTTTCTCTGCCACAGGAAGCTCTCTTCCCCCTATTTCTGAAATGTGGGTTTCTTAGATCTTGGTAAGACAGTGTCTTGGGGATGGATGTGACAGCATACTCTGGTCCTTTAGTGCAAGTCACCTGTTTTTTTTTTTTTTTGTTTGTTTGTTTTTTTATCCTGGGAGGCAATGGCCAGGAACTCAGAGAATTTACTTAGGGAAATCCTGATAGTTTTCCTGTATCTGGTCATTTGTAACCTGCTAATATTCTGGGTCTCAGGGTCTGAAAAGTCCCCATCTGGGATAGTGCCTCTCACACCTCATGGAGCCCGTGGTAAAAATTCAGGAGAAATTAGTTTTCCATTCATTCACAAGATCGTGAAACGTCACAGCTGGAAATAGACTTTATGGGTCAGTCAGTCCAATCCGTTCATTTTACAGATGGGAAAAATGAGATTCAGTGAGGCGAAGTGATTTGCAGTGCATAGAGTATGGGAGTTGGAATCAGGAAGGCTTGATTTCCAATCCTGCCTCAGACACTTGCTAGCTGTGTGACCCTGGGTAAGTCATTTCACCTGTTTGCCTCAGTTTCCTCATCCGTAAAATGGGGACAAAAATAGCACCTACCTTCATGGCTGTCGTAAGGACAATGAGATAACACGTCCCCTGCACCATAAACACTAGCCCGCTAGCCAGGATTGAAGCTACAGCTTCTTTCTCTTGAGCCAATATGTTTCCCATAGTACCACACAACTCTTACATTCACCTGGGGAGGAGTTTGGCTGACTTGTGATTTCACTGGATGAGAACTCCTAGTGAGTAAATTCTCCTTACCAATCTTGCTAGGTATCTGCTCATCAATTCAGTTTTAGGGAGCTGCCTGGGCACTGAGAAATTAAAGTACTTGCCTACGGTCATAAAACCAGTATTTGTTAAGAGCAGGGATTAACGGGATCATGGACCTAGAGGAGGAAGGGGCCTTACTGTCATTTTACAATTAAGGAAATTGAGGTAGAAATGATGTGACTTGCTCAAAGTCATACAATTAGTGTTTGAGGTAGGATTTGAACCCAGGTCCTTTCTCCTCAAGCCAGGGCTCTTTCCTCTATACTACACTGCCTCCTAGAACTCAGTCCTTACTTTAAGACCAGCTCTCTATCCACTCTGCCAGACTGCCTCTGTATTCAGCTCTCTACCCACAGAGCTTAATATGGTTTATCCTTTGAGAAACTGAATTCCTTGTAGTTCTTTTTAACTTTCTGAAGTAATCTCTTATCTACCAGTTCTTTTAGCCTCACAAAAACCTTGTCAAATACATCAGGCAGACATCATCCTTCCTATTTGACAGACCAGGAAACTGAGGCTCAGAGATGATGACTGACTTTCCAATCCGTCCTCAGCTGTCCAATCGATCCTCCCAAATGGGCAAGTCAGGCCTGTCACCCCTCTACCTATTCAATCGGCTCCCATGACTCCCTATGGAGCCCACCTTTCCAGCTTTCTTACACTTTATCCGCCCTTTTGTATGTCCTCCACCATCCAGGGACACTGGCCTTCTGGCTTTCTCACACACCACACTCCATGTCCCACCTCAGGGCATTTTCACTAGGCATCCCCCTGCCCAGAATGTTCTTCCTCCCTATTTCGACCCCTCAGATTCCCGGCTTTCTTTAAGCGTCACCTAAAGTGACCTCCTATCCGAAGCCTTTCTCAGTCAAATTTAATCTCAGTGCCTTCCCTGTGAGACGACCTCCTAGTTACCCTGTATATGCACAGTGGTTTACAAGTGGTGTCCCCAACTAGAGTGTAAACTCCCAGATTGCAGGGACTGCTTTTTTGGGGGGGGGAGGGAGATTTGAGGGGGCCTTTCTTTGTATCCCCAGCACTTACAGTGCTTGGCACATAACAGGTACTTAAATGCTCACTGACTGACTGACTTTAAGAAGTCAAGTAGGTAATCAGAGCTAGGGATCCTCAGAAAACAAAGATGATTAAGTTGCTTGTCACCATGCACTCAGAAAATGAAGTCTCCCATTTCAGTGAGATGAAAACAGTAGAAAAGTGGAGCCCAGGAAGCCTAAAGCTGGCTGTCCAGCAAAGAAGGTAAGTAAATAGTAACTAACTCTCTCTCCCTGGGGACCCGAATTCACTTCAAAGTCCTCGTTGGGTGAGGGGTAGGGGAGTAGAAGAGCAAGGAGGACGACGGGACTTCCTTCTTTCGGCCTGCAGAAGGGCCTCAGCTGCTTATAGACCAGCTAGTCCAACCCTCCCATTTTAGAGCTGAGGAAACTGAGTTCCAGAAGGGAAGGGGATTAGAACCCATGTCCTCTGCCTCCCCTCCTACCCCATCATGGCCAGGTGCCAGAAGTCTGAATGAAGAGAGAAAAAAATTCGGGTCATCTAATGCTGAAGTGGGTTCCCTAGGCCTGGGCAGGTAGAGTGGACTTTGAGTTACTAGCTGAAATCCCTAACTCTGATGGAGCACCACACTATAGCATGAAGATTAGAAACAGAAATGCCTTAAATGCAGTTCCTAGAAGGTAGGGGCTGGGCCACTGACTTGGGTGGAACAGGAGGCCTAGGGAAATAAACTGTATCCAGGGCAGAAGTGAACCAATTTCTCTCCGTGACCACACATAGAATAAAGCTGTCTCAAGGACTCAGAGGATCAAGAGGACCTCCCACTACCTTCTTCCTTAGGCCCTCAGACAAAGTCCGGGAGACCCACCCTCTGGGCTCTTTTCCCAGGCTCTCCTCACAGGCTGGGAAGCAGTATTACCCTACAGATGGCCAGGACACCTGTGGACTACTGTTCCCTATGATGAAATAAGTCTAGCTCTTCTGTTCATTCCATTCTTTAATTTCCATAAGATGTTTTCGGGTAACGATATGCCTTGCCATGCCCTCATGGAGGCAGGATCCCTTGGCTGGGTCATAGAAAGCCCTTTTCTTTTCCGAGTGTATGCACTGATATCCACACATTCACACACACCCAGAAGGTTCAGACACAGCACTGAGGCGAGACAAGTTCTCTGTGGGTGTAGGGGGAAAGGAAGGTTTCCGTTTGACTGAATCACTGGGAGAAGGGCAAAAGCCGACGAATAGCTTGCTCCCGCTTCATGGGGAAT